ACTGGGAATGGACTGGGTTAGACTGGGAATGGACTGGGTTAGACTGGGTTATACTGGGATGGACTGGGTTATACTGGGAATGGACTGGGTTAGACTGGGTTATACTGGGAATGGACTGGGTTATATTGGGTTATACTGGGAATGGACTGGGATGGACTGGGACAGACTGGGAATGGACTGGGAGGGACTGGGAGTGAACTGGGAATGGACTGGGAGGGACTGGGAGTGAACTGGGAATGGACTAGGATAGACTGGGAGTGATTGGGAATGGACTGGGATGGACTGGGTTATACTGGGAATGGACTGGGTTATACTGGGAGGGACTGGGAATGGACTGGGATGGACTGGGTTATACTGGGAGGGACTGGGAATGGACTGGGTTATACTGGGAGGGACTGGGTTATACTGGGAATGGACTGGGAGGGACTGGGTTATACTGGGAGGGACTGGGAGTGACTGGGTTATACTGGGATGGACTGGGACGGACTGGGAGTGACTGGGGTAAACTGGGAGGGACTGGGGAGAGATAAGGAAGCACTGGGAGCACTGGGGGTTACTGGGAGGCACTGGTTTATACTGGGAAGCACCGAGGCAGTGCCAGGGGCCTGGCTGGGGTTCCTGGTTTGTACTGGTTTGTACTGGTTTGTACTGGTTCTAACTGGTCCGTGCCCCCGCAGGCAGCATCGTCAAGTGTCTGAGCCATACTGGTTCATACTGGTTGTAATTGGTCTGTACTGGTCTGTAGTGGTCCATACCGGTTCTAACTGGTCCATAGTGGTTTATACTGGTTCTAACTGGTTTATACTGGTTCTGACTGGTCTGTGTTCCCCGCAGGCAGCATCGCCAAGTGTCTGAGCCATACTGGTTTATACTGGTCCGTAGTGGTTTATACTGGTTCATAGGGGTCCATAGCATTTACACTGGTTCTAACTGGTTTATACTGGTTCTAACTGGTCCATACTGGTTTACACTGGTTCTAAGCGGTTCCCCCACCCCGCAGCAGCATCTGAGCTGTACTGGTTTGTACTGGTTCATAGTGGTTTATACTGGTTTATAGGGGTCTATAGTGGCTCACACTGGTTCTAACTGGTTTATACTGGTCCATACTGGTTTATACTGGTTTGTACTGGTTCTAACCGGTTCCGCCACCCCGCAGGCAGCATCGCCAAGCCATACTGGTTTCTACTGGTTCATAGGGGTCCATAGTGGCTCATACTGGTTTTCACTGGTCCATACTGGTTTATACTGGTTTATACTGGTTCTGACTGGTCCGTGCCCCCCCCAGGCAGCATCGTCAAGCATCTAAGCCATACTGGTTCATACAGGTCCATAGTGGTTTATATTGGTTTATAGGGGTCTATAGTGGCTCATACTGGTTCTTACTGGTTTATACTGGTTTATACTGGCTTATACTGGTTTATACTGGTTCTGACTGGTCCGTGCCCCCCGAGGCAGCATCGTCAAGCATCTGAGCCATACTGGTTTATACTGGTTCATACAGGTCCATAATGGTTTATACTGGTTTATAGGGGTCTATAGTGGCTCACACTGGTTCTAACTGGTTTATACTGGTCCATACTGGTTTATACTGGTTCTGACTGGTCCATACTGGTTTATACTGGTTCTGACTGGTCCGTGCCCCCGCAGGCAGCATCGCCAAGCGGCTGAGCTCGGTGGGCGCCGAGAACACGGAGGAGAACCGGCGCTGGTACCGGCAGCTGCTGTTCACGGCCGACAAGCGCGTGGAGCCGTGCATCGGCGGCGTCATCCTCTTCCACGAGACCATGTACCAGAAGGCCGACGACGGGCGCCCCTTCCCCCAGGTCATCCGCGACAAGGGAGCCCTGGTGGGCATCAAGGTGCGACACGGGGACGCCTCGGGGACACCTCGGGGACATTGAGGGGTCTTGGGGACATTGAGGGGTCTTGGGGATGTGAGGGACCTTGGGTGTTCCTTGAGTTGGGTCAACCATAGAGAGGTGGAGCCACATCTGAGGTGGGTCAGAGGGTGAGGTGGAGACGTTTGGGGTCTTGGAGATTGCCCCCAACGTCCCCAGTGTCCCCAACGCCCCCGATGTCCCCAACGCCCCCGATGTCCCCTGCTGTCCCCAGGGCTGGACGGGCTGATGGAGCGCTGTGCCCAGTACAAGAAGGACGGCGCTGACTTTGCCAAGTGGCGCTGCGTGCTGAAGATCACGGCGCACACGCCCACGCGCCTCGCCGTCATGGAGAACGCCAACGTCCTGGCGCGCTACGCCAGCATCTGCCAGCAGGTCACCCGCGTCCCCAGCTGTCCCCAGATGTCCCCAACCCGGCCCCAGCCTGGCCTCGGGACGGGGGGATCAAAGGGTGGGGGCTGGGTGGGGGTTGGTGGCATCTGGAGAGGGTTTGGTGGCACCTAGACCAGGTTTGGTGGCACTTAGAGGTGGTTAGGTGGCATCTAGACCAGGTTTGGTGGCATCTAGAGAGGATTTGGTGGCACCTGGAGAGGGTTTGGTGGCACTTAGAGGGGGTTTGGTGGCACCTCTGTGCGCTTGAGTCACCTCCAGGTGTCCCCAACCTGTCCCAGTGCCACCTCCAGGTGTCCCAGAGGGGTTGGTGGGGGTGGGTGACACCTCAGGGTGGCACCTAGAGGGGGGTTGGTGGCACTTAGAGTGGGTTTGGTGGCATCTGGAGAGGGTTTGGTGGCACCTCTGTGCCCCCTTGTGTCCCCTCCTGCTGTCCCCACCTGTCCCACTGTCCCCTGGGGCTGGCCCCTGTCCCCTCCCTCTGTCCCCAATGTGCCCCCATGTCTGACGTGTCCCCCAGTGTCTGATGCGTCCCTGTGTCCCCCTGCTGTCCCCCTGTCTGACATGTCCCTGATGTCCCCGCTGTCCCCCTGCGTGATGTGTCCCTGTGTCCCTGCTGTCCCCATGTCCCCTGCTGTCCCCCCTGTCTGACGTGTCCCCGTGTCCCCATGTCCCTGCTGTCCCCATGTGTGACATGTCCCTGGAGAGGTGGGGCCACATCTGAGATGGGTTCAGAGGGTGAGGTGGGGACACTTTGTGGTCTTGGGGACCTTGGGGACACCTTGGGGACACTGGGGACATTGAGGGGTGTTGGGGACATTGAGGGGTCTTGGGGACGTTGGGTGTTCCTTGAGTTGGGTCAGCCATGGAGAGGTGGGGCCACATCTGAGATGGGTTCAGAGGGTGAGGTGGGGACACTTTGGGGACATTTGAGGTCTTTAGGACATTGGGGACACCCTGAGGACTCCTTGGGGACATTGGGGACACCTCGGGGACATTGAGGGGACTTGGGGACATGAGGGGCGTTGGGTGTTCCTTGAGTTGGGTCAACCACGGAGAGGTGGAGCCACATCTGAGGTGGGTTCAGAGGGTGAGGTGAGGACACTTTGGGGACATTTGGGGTCTTCAGAGCATTGGGGACACCTTGGGGGTGTCACATGGCTTGGGGACATTGAGGGGTCTTGGGGACACTGGCTGTTCCTGGGGTTGGGTCAGCCACGGCCATGGTGGGACCAGGCCCGCACATCTGAGGTGGCTTTAGGGATTGGGGTGGGGACACTTGGGGACATCAGGGGACGCCTGGGGACCTGCTGGTGTCCCCTGCTGTCCCCGGTGACCGTGTCCCTGTCCCCCAGGTGGACAAGGGCGTGGTGCCCCTGGCTGGCACCAACGGCGAGACCACGACCCAGGGTGAGTGACAGCTCTGTCCCCAAGGCCACCAGCGTGTCCCTGTCCTTGTCACCGCCGTGTCCCTGTCCCCTGTGCCACCGCTGTGTCCCCCATCCCTGTCACTGCGGTGTCCCCGATGCCACCGCTCTGTCCCTGTCACTGCCGTGTCCTCAATGCCACCACAGTGTCCCTGTCACGGCCGTGTCCCTGATGGCACTGCCGTGTCCCCAGTGCCACCACGGTGTCCCCATCCCTGTGTCACCACCGTGTCCCCAATGCCACCGCTGTGTCCCCATCCCTGTGTCACCACCGTGTCCCCAGTGCCACCACGGTGTCCCCATCCCTGTGTCAACACCGTGTCCCCAGTGCCACCACGGTGTCCCCATCCCTGTGTCACCACCGTGTCCCCAGTGCCACCACGGTGTCCCCATCCCTGTGTCAACACCGTGTCCCCAGTGCCACCACGGTGTCCCCATCCCTGTGTCACCACCGTGTCCCCAGTGCCACCACGGTGTCCCCATCCCTGTGTCACCACCGTGTCCCCAGTGCCACCACGGTGTCCCCATCCCTGTGTCACCACCGTGTCCCCAGTGCCACCACGGTGTCCCCATCCCTGTGTCACCACCGTGTCCCCAGTGCCACCACGGTGTCCCCATCCCTGTGTCACCACCGTGTCCCCAGTGCCACCACGGTGTCCCCATCCCTGTGTCACCACCGTGTCCC